GCTAGTTTCCTTTCACTTCTTAAGACAAAATGACCGGCCAAAAGTTGCAGAGCATTTCAAGTGGGACACAAGCAAGACTGCAAGTCAGTGCCTCTCAGGGGGGCCATGATTCATGAGGTTCTGTTGCAAATCTATAATGGAATCAGTGAGGGATTTGGGTACTTAGAAACTTAGCAATTTGGCAGAGAAATTTTACATCTGCTGAAATCTGAAGAGAAAACAATCGAGACTTGAAATTGTATGACTTTTTCTCATTTAATTTTTCTAGTAACTAATTTTAAATGTCTTTTACAAAAGTATCACTTCACAATAGACCAGAAATTATTTTTTTTAATCCTCACCCTTCATAACCATTTGGGAAGCACGGGCCAAGCATACTCAGTCCAGTGAGGCCCAGAAAGCTGCAGAACACAAGCAAACTCACTCACACTGCAAATTCAGAACTGCAATCTGTGTGGATTCTAGAGACATAGGTGAGAGGTGGGTGGGGAGGCAGGCAGGTCCAATTGTCAGAAGTTGGCTCAGGGAATTAGATCTCTGTAGGCCAGTTCCAGAATGGAAGAGAATTCCCTAAGACAGGGTTTCTCAGAATGTTTCCAAACACTTGGTAGGCAAGAGTCCCCGAGACCAAAAAGAGAGGAAGATTACCAAGTGACTCACTCACTTCCTGATTGTGGTGACATCATGAGTCATACGATATGAGCACCTTATTATATGTCCAACGTATCTCAATCAAGGTAAATTGAAGGAAGGCAAAGAACAGGAAGACAAAAGATGTAGATCAAAGTTAGGGTTAGGATATAAATCCCATGACGAAGAAGCTCAGTCCCTCACATCCGCCTTCAAAATGCCTTTTCCAGTGAGTTTGTAATAGGCCATCCATACTACCATCAGATATGCTCAATATGCCCCATATTTTATTATAGTTTTGCCATTGTTACACTGAATTCACATTTTCCAAAAGAACAGCTCCCGACCTAACCCTTTTTAAATTGTAGGAGTCTACAGTTCTTGGCTCGGAAACACTGCTGTTGCTCTGACAGAGCTCCAGAGGAGCAGATGGCACCAGATGAGATAAATTGCAAGACAGTCTCTGTCTCTCCGTTGCCTCCTCCCTACCTCAAACAGCTCTCCTAAATAATATTACTCCCATGTCCCTCTGCCTGTATTTTCTCATCATATAGGATTAGGCGTCAAATTGTCAGAAACTGAAAAGGGAGTCTTTAAAGAAAAAAAAAGATTAACTATATCTAAATTTATTGCTGATTAAATACTTAGTCCTACTTGTATTGCTACATTAATAAGCATTTATGCATTTATACTATTCATATATTCTGTAGGACTGCTGTTGCCACCATAGAGTGATACTGCAAGGTAAGGTTTTACATTTTTACACACATAAGACTATCGTTTCAGTTTAGATGAGTAATGTGGACCATGTGCAAATATGTTCATCCATGATTACTTTCAAAGAGATATGTTCTATCTTTGCAAATAGCTCAAAGGGAGCATCTAGCCTATTGATCTATGAGCGGAGTATGCGCAAAACACCCACAAACTACTCACACTTACATGACTAACAGAATCTCTTTCACGGAGCCTTTTGCTATTTCTATGTGGGATGTAATGTGATGGAGGACCCAAACCTACAAAGTTTACATAATATTTAGCTCTCAGTTCCTCCAGCCTTAAAAAAAAATCTTTCTCCTCCTTTACAAAACATCAAGAGGCTACCTAAAAAGACAAGCTTTTGTCTTGTTATCGCCACTCTTGTTATTAGTATGGAAAATAATTACCACCACTTAAAAACATTTTATCTTCTCTACTGTACTATAAGCTTCATGAGGGAAGGATGCATAACATTTATATCCCTCACAGTAAGTAATATACACAGATATTTAACAATATTTGCTGAAGAAAGGAAAGGAAATAAAGATACAAATAGAATGTGTATAACCCAGATTAAAGCCCAGAGATTTTAACAAGAGATTCAGACATTTGAAATGTTCTTAGTAACTTTGAGAAATTATTACCACATTAGAAAAAAAAAAGCTATACAATTTTATTTTTTTCAGTTAGCTAGTAAGAGCTTGTACAGTTTGCGTTTTCCTGAATTTTCCTAGCTGGCCGAGGGCTAACACTTGAGAGAAGGAGCAGTCTTTGCCTCCCTCCCATCTCCCACAACGGGACTGCACAGCCAGTACCTTCCACCTGGCCTCCCTCCTCCAAGTCAGCTGCTCAGCCCACTGTGGGAGCTGCTCACCTCCGGGGCTCTCCCTTGCTAACTCCTCCTATTCTTCTGCGCTGCCTTCCAGGATGGCCACATTCCCTCTGAGATGCTGCTCCTCCCTGTTGTGAATTAAGCCATCACAGTCTATGGTCTACAACCTCTTTGACTGCTTGGCTTTTTTTTCTCTTCTGTTTGTCTGCTTGTGGGAGTTCAGGGCCTCATTAGTTTGCCATTATAAAGGTTTCCTCCCCCACCAACAACGTGCCAGCAGCTTCTGGAAAGTTGGTCTTTTCATAGCCAAACAGACTACAGTATTACTGTAATGTTTTGATTTGCATTCCCCACACAAATATAAATAAGAGTTAAACTCCCTCTGGGTCTAGAAAACAAGTTCTCAATAAGTATTTTTTTTCTCCTCTTCCAAGTTGTGCATAACTCTTGGTGAATATATCATACCAAGTTTTGCAGATACCCTTCTCCATTTATGTACTGTTAAACAAGCTAAAAAATACGTTAGTTTTACTCACCCCACCAAATATCTGTCCCCTATCATCACTCTTTGCAGCTAAGAACAGCATGATGGGAAAGAATAGTATCTTCAACAAAGGGTGCTGGGAAAACAGGATAGCCAAATGCAAAGAATGAATCATATAAAAAAGCAACTCAAAATGGATTAAAGACCTAAATGTAAGACCCCAAAAAACATAGGGGGGAAGCTGCATGACATGATTCCTTGGATATAACACTTTAAGCACAGGCAACAAAAGCAAAAATAGGTACCTGAGACCACATCAAACTTAGAAACTTTTGTGCATCAAAGGACACAATCAGAGGCCAGGCACAGTAGCTCATGCCTGTAATCTTATCACTCTGGGAGACTGAGTTGGGTGAATCACCTGAGCTCAGGAGTTTGAGACCAGCCAGAGCAAGAGCAAGACCCTGTCTCTACTAAAAAACCATAAAAACCAGCCAGGTGTCATGGTGGGCACCTGTAGTCCCAGTTACTCAGAAGGCTGAGGCAAGAAAATCCCTAAGCCTAGGAGTTTGAGGCAGCTGTGAGATAAGATGCTATGGACGGCACTCAACCTCAGGGTGACAGAGTGAGACTCTGTCTCAAAAGAAAAAAAAAACACACAAAAGCGTGAAAAGGCAAACTAAGTAATGGGAGAAAATACTTGCAAATCACATATTTGATAAGAGTTTAATGTAATATCCAGGATACATAAATAACTCCTATAACTCAACTGAAAAAAGTTAAATAATAATTAAAAATTATAAGGACTTGAGCAGACATGTCTCCAAAAATGATATACAAATAGCCAACAAGCATATTAAAAGATGCTTTTTAGCATCACGAATCATCAGAGAAATGCAAATCAAAACCACAATGAGATATCATCTCAACAATCATCAGGATGGCTACTATAAAAAAAAAAACACAAGGAATAACAAGTGTTGGCAGAGATGCAGAGAAACTGGAATCTTGTACATTGTTGGTGGGACTGCAAAATGGTTTAGTTGCTATAGAAAACAGCATGGTGGTTCTTAAAGAAATTAAAGACAGAGCTACCATATGACTCAGTAATTCTATTTCTGGGCATATTATATCCAAAATAATCTCAAGCAGGGGCTTGAAGAGTTATTTGTATACCCACGTTTACAGTAGCACTATTCACAACAGCCAAGTCATGGAAGCAACTTAAGTGTCCATGAACAGATGAATGGATGAACAAAATGTGGTAAAACTACTACTGAACAGTGGAAAACTACACAGCCTCAAAAAGGAAGGAAATCCTGCCATGAGCTACAACATGGATGAACCATGAGGATATTGTTCTAAAAGAAATAAGCCAGTCACAGAAGGCCAAAGACAGCATGATTCCACCTATATGAGGTACCTGAAGTGCAGTAAGTCCTCACTCAATGTCACTGATTGGTTCCTGGAAACTGACTTTAATTGGTAGGACATATAATGAAACTAATTTTACCACAGGCTAATTGGTACAATTGGGCTTAAGTTAGGTACACAGGCCTAAGTTCCTATGGCAAACATCAGCAAATGATGTTTAAATAAAGACCCAAAACATTTCTAATATTAAATACTGAAATAAATGCAAGCTATATAATACACTTAAGAAAGATTAATAAAAACAAGTAAGATAATTAATTATTTACCCAATTTTTGGTATATATGTGAGTGATGGCAGTCATATTGGTGGCAGGTTAAAACAGAAATAAATATTTGCAAAGAGAACACTATGAGGACCACCTCTTATTACCATGAGTTCAAAACCAGTAACATGGCAGGTTTGCTGAGCGCTTCTGTATGACATCATTTTTTGCCATGCATTTATATGATTACTATATACTTTGTGAATTTTTATTTTGCAATAATTTGTATTCATTCATTTTCCAATTCATTTATTCTAGTTCAGGTGGGTGACTGAGGCCAACGCTGGCAGCTTAAGACATGAGGGGAAACAACCTTGGACAGCGGTGTGTCATCCCAGCACAGGGCACACTCATACACACGCCCACATACACACTCACTCAGCCTGGGACATTCAGACACATCAGTTAACCTGATGAGCACATCTTTGGTATGTAGAAGAAAACCCATGAAGACCTAGGAGGAACGTGTTCACATAGACAGTGGCCCTCGCCAGGAATCAATTGTTCCCTCATCAACATTACAACAAAATGGTACTGAATGAAAGGACACTGTTCATGGACCTGCTGTAGTCAGATTTCTAGACATGGAGAGTAGAAGATCCTTTTGTGGTTCATGAACATGATGACTGGGATTTTAGGCTCATCTGTGAGAGCCTCTCTCAAACCTTGTTAGGGCCTTGGTGGCGCATTACTCAACTGACGTGGACAAATGACAAGAAAGGAAAATAGAATGGTGGTTACGAGGAGCAGGGGGAGGGGAGGGAGTCGTTGTTTAACTGGTACAGCGTTTCAGTTCTGTAAGACAAAAAAAATCTGTAGAATTGTGACAACATAAGTATAATAAATACTATGAAACTATATACTTAAAAACTGTTAAGATGGTAAATTTTATGACGTGGGATTTTTATTTTTTCACCTTAATTTTTTAAAAAGCATAATATAGTTGATGGAGTATGGGGCTGAGTTTTACAGACCCAAGTATAAAACCATATTAGCTCTGCAACTTACTGTGCGGTCTTAGGCAAATTCCTCTGAGAAGCAGTTTCCTCATCTATATAAATGAGAGCATAAATAATATATATTTTCAAAGTGATTTGAAGATTAGATGAAAACTGTTGGCACAGAAGACACTCAGAGTTGGAGTCCTTAATTCTCCCCCTGGGGATTACATCAACATACACCCCATCGAAGCACCTAACAGAAACTAAAGGCTTACTAAGTCTTATATTGCTCTAGACAACTCTCCAGAAATAGAATCCCCATTTACTCTCCCCAAAAAGGATAGCAGGCAGGACTGTAATCCCTACTTTGCTGATAAGGACAGCAAAGCAGAGAAGTGGCCTAACATGCCTAGACCCTCAAGTAAGTAGTCACAGACGCTGAAAAACTGTGAAATGCTTCGTTTTACTGCACCTAGACATGAGGTACAGAAACATGAGACAGAGCTGGCAACACAACAAATATAGCCACATAAAAACAAAACTCAAAAGGGGGCTGCTAGGGTCTGAATGTTTGTGTCTTCTCCAAAATTCAGGTTGAAACTTAATCCCCAATCCAATAGTTAATAAGAAGTGGGGCCAGAGGGGCTAGAGATGACTGTCTAGATCCTTTCACCTTCTGACCTGTAAAGATGCAGCACTCAAAACACCATCTCAGAAGCAGAGACCCGGGCCCTTATTAGAGACTGAAACTGTTTGTGCCTGGTTCTTGGACTTCACAGCCTCCAGAACTATAAGAAATAAATTTTTGTTATTTAAAAATCACCCAGCCTGTGGTATTTTATTACAGCAGCAGAAATGGACTAAGACAGGAGTACAACACATAAAACTGACCACAAGGGCAGGGTCTCAAACATCTATTAAGTAATCAGACAGGATTAGGGAAAATGATTTTATATTTACAATTAACATTTACGAAGATTCACTGAAAAGGCCATCTAATCCCCTTGTCTACTTTTTTTTTCTTGAGACTGAGTCTCAAGTTGTCACTCTCAGTAGAGTGCCGAGGGGTCACAGCTCATAGCAACTTCAAACTCTTAGGCTCAAGCGATTCTCTTGCCTCAGCCTTCCAAGTAGCTGGGACTACAGGCGCCCACCACAACGCCCAGCTATTTTTGTTGTTGCAGTTGTCAGTGTTTTAGCTGAGCAGGGCCAGATTCGAACCCCCAGCCTCAGTGTATGTGCTGGAGCTCCACCCACTGAGCTACGGGAGATGCTCCCTCCCACCCCCACCTTTTAAACAGGTTCTTTCCCTGCCTAAGCATTCACTTTAATTTTCGGTTATCTTTTAAGACAAATTTTTAACTCTAACTCATGATGCAGTTTAAGATAATTTACTTTTTACTCCAGTTGAAAAGAGTTGCTTAACACAATCTATGATTACTAAGTGACTAAATTATGAGTCAACCATATTTTGTTGGAGGTGTTTGTTCCTCCCAAATTTTAAAATGCCCACCTTAGTAAATTTCCCAGAAGCTGTATCATCTGGGCTATGTCCTAACATGACAATATCTACAGCACATATTCCATTTCAAATACACTATGGAAAGTAGATAGGGCATTCAGGAGAGAAAAAAGTTACCTCTTATGTTTTAACAGTACCCACAAATAACAAGATTGAGTTGAAACAACCAAGTAATACAGAGGTCAACTTGTTTTTGACATAAATGGACTTGGAGAAAGCTCAGATCTTGTCCAGTACACATACTTCCTAAAACTACGAGTTTCTCCTAGAGAGCTAGAGCCCAGCTCTAGCCCCATTCCCCTTCCTGTAACCCTGGAGCACAGTGACTAACTGTGCAAAGTGTTCATTACAGATGACTACAACAACCAGGTTTCTTCAGGATACACCTGTTATCCACACCTTTATTTTTTTTATGATGTCATTCCCCCATGTCTTTTTGACAACCCCAATTTCAGCTTTATCCCTAACATGACAGTATAACTACAGCAACCTTACACACATTCTGCTTCAACTACTCTTTTGGAACTTAATTGCATACGCTCAATTTTAATTGTATGTTCACTTTCCACATGTCAAGCACTGAGCTAACAGGTCTACAAGAGAAGAGGTATAGCATCATGGTAAAAGTGACTGGAAAGTTGTAAGACTGACTTTGAATTATGCCAGTAGATGACCTTTGAACTTGATCTGCAACACTGGTTGTTCCCTGAGTCTCGAGATTGGGCCTGTGGATTTTAAATGCACAAGCCTCCATAATTCTGTAAATCAATTCCTTAAAACAAATCGCTCTCAATCACTACTAAATCACTCTTCTCAAACCCTGCCACAGCTTTATCAACTAAATTTAGGTAATATTCTGAATCTTTCACTTTCATTTCCACAATGTTCACAGGAGTAGATTTCATTTCTACCACACAACACAGATTTGACATTAACTATCTCGTGAATCATTTTCACTCAAATCCTTGAAACTTTAACTTACAGAAAGCTACTATTCTTTTATTTTGATTAAGGAGGATAAAATACACATCTGCTATGATGTTGAGTGTTATAAAAGTGTCAGTGGAGAAGTCACATGTCACAATTACTAAGTTTTCTCTACCAATGAGAAACTGTAATCTCAAGGAAAAAGAGTAAGTTGGTTTTCCAATCTATGTCTGAATGAATATATAAATAACAACTCATTTGAAAAGAGTCAAGTTTCAGCTTTTTGGCACTTCCTCTAAGTTAAACATAGAATTACCATGCCATCAAGCAATTCCACTCCTGAGTATATACCTAAAAGCAGGGACTCCAACAGATATTTATGCAACAGTGTTCAATAGCGATATTACTCACAACAGCTGAAAAGTGAAAATAACCCTCTAAGTAGCTAAATGGATAAATGAATGCAATATATATGATACATATACATATACTATGGAATATTATTCAACCATAAAAAGGAATGAACTTCTGATATATGCTACCACATGGATGAACTTTAAGGACATTATGCTGAGTGAAATACGCCAGACAAAAGTATAAATGTATACGATTCCACCTGTATAAGGTAACTAGAGTAGGGAATTTTGTAAGGACAGAAAGTAGAGTAGAGGTTACCAGTGGCTGGGGGCAAGGGAGAATGGGACTTACTGTTTAATGGGTACAAAGTTTCTGTTGGAAAAGACAAAAAGTTCTGGAAATAGTGGTAATAGTTAAACATTGTGAATATGAACTAAATGCTACTGAACTGTAACTTAAAATATTAATGCAGAAACTGTGTATTATTCACACTTTACCACAATAAAAAAAAGGGGAAAAACAATCAGAATGGAAAATTAAACTGGAGAAAAACAGTCACATTTTCAAGGCATTTGCAACTTCCACTATTTCCTTTTTTTTTTTTTTTAATTTTACAGATGGGGAAACTGAGTCCCAAACATCCAATCAGAGGCACAGCACAGATCAGCACTCCGGCCTATGGGCTCTGCAGCCAGTGGGCACACTCCATAGCACGGCACACAGCACGGCACACAGCACGCCCTCTCTCAGGACAGTCCCCCAATTCCTCCTTCTCCTCTCACACCTTTCCTCTCTCCACGCCAACCTTCATCTGAACAATTTAATGATAACCGCTGGGCAAAAGCATCATTTGTAAGACTAGGACAAAAATGTAGGAGCATCTGAAAAAGCAGATTTTACAGAAGGATCAGCATGTACTAAACTTTGTGCACAAGGGCTCTGTATATTTTAGGAGGTTTTCAGCTGCAAAAAATTTGGAAAACTCAAAGTTAAATTGGCATAAGCCATGAAAAAATTCATTATCTCAGGTGGCGCCTGTGGCTCAAGGAGAAAGGCACCAGCCCAATATACCAGAGGTGGTGGGTTCAAATCCAGCCCTGGCCAAAAACTGCCAAAAAAAAACAAAAATTCATTATCTCATGGAACTGTGAGATCAAAGGCAGGGAGATATCCAGGTATATATCCTGTGATCATCAGCTTGACGTCAGCATCAAGAATCCAGGATCCTTCCTTCTGCTCTGACAACTTCAGTGTCAGATTCGTCTCAAGACTGATGCCATGGTTACAAGATAACTGCCAGTGGAAATAAAAGCCATATCTATGCTTCACTGTTTGTTGTCTTCTGATGTAAGAGAAAATGCTCCCCCAAAACAAAAAAATAAGCCTGTCCACATGACTGAGCCAATCTAGGTCACAGGACCACTTCTAGATCACAGTCACCACCAAGGGAAAACCATGCTCTGACCAACTTAAAGTACAGATGCTCATGTCTATCTGAGGAGGAGGAAACAGTAACTGAAAAATACCTACATTTCAGTTATTAGGAAAGGAAACAGATGCTGACAGGCAACCAACACTGTCCACCATCTTAATGTTTCTCAAACTTTCACATGCACACAGACTCCCCAAGGATCTCATTAAAACACAGATTCGGATGCAAAAGGGATAAGACTCAGATTCTACATTTCTTTTTTTTTTTTTTTTTTTTTGAGACAGAGCCTCAAGCTGTCCCCCTGGGTAGAGTGCCGTGGCATTACGGCTCACAGCAACCTCCAACTCCTGGGCTCAAGCGAGTCTCCTGCCTCCGCCTCCCAAGTAGCTGGGACCACAGGCACCCGCCACAACGCCCGGCTATTTTTTGGTTGCAGCCGTCATTGTTGTTTTGGCGGGTCCGGGCTGGGGATTCGAACCCGCCACCTTAGGTGTACATGGCTGGCGCCTTAGCCGGTTGAGCT